CTGCTCTGGGGAGCAAAAAGTGGGGAGAGCCATTCAGCTCTTCCCCCAACATTGCTGCAGATCACCACGCTCAGCACCTGGAAGCTTCTGAGGCATTGGTGATGCTCAGTGCCAGGATATGTTCATGGAGGGAGACTCTGGTCCTCTGGGGAGGATGACCGTCGGGTCCAGGAGAAGGAGCAGCACCCTGGGGATATGGTGATGTGGGCAGAGGTACACAGAGGCTCAGGGGCACCTGTAACAGCTGTGCCCAGCAGACATCTGTGCCAGCTGGCTACCCAGACCACTCCCTGTCTGCCCAGGACCACTTGAGGGGCTTTCAGCAAGGATTGAGGGTCTGTATTAGTGGGAGGGCGAGAGGTAGGAAACCACAGGGTACCCATGGCACAGCCCAGGTTCTACCCTCAGGCTGCCAAACCTAAGGTAACTTTCCTTGAAAGCATGAGAGAGACAGAGCACGTAAGTCAAGCAGAGCTTTTTTTCAATGATCCTGATTTCTTTCAAATAAAAAGACCAAGTTAGACATCAAAAGTTTTTGGCATCACAATGAGGATAATAGTTTTAGTCATCCAACCCCATACCTGTTAGACATCCTCAATATTGATGAGAATCTTTGGCTTCGGTTTTTCCAACGTTCTGACCGTCCCTGACCATCCAGCCAAACAGCTACTAACCCCATGAGCAGAAGCCACACCCTGTGTCCCTCAAGCCCATCCATGTACCTATGAGCCCTCAGGAACCCGGACCTCCGAGAGCCACTGCAGACCATGACTCCTGACAGGATAGGGTTAAAGACTCAGCCTTGTTCTCCTCAGCAGATGCCATGTGGAAAAGTGCTGGCCTGGCAGTGCCCTGTGGCTGCAGCAATCAGGCAGCGGGGCTAATTAGTGAGTCAGACCCACGGGGGGAAATGCTGACAAACCAGCAAGCAGCAAGTGCCTGGTCCCACAGCAGGAGCCAGAGCCACAGAAGGCAGAGGAGCAGCAGGTCTGGGGCAGGGGAAGGGCAAACAGGTGTCCTCCACAGAGCCCTGACCTGGTCGTCGCCTCTTCAGCCTTGATTCCAGAGCTGAGTTTAGAGCAGGATCAAAGAAACCTTACCAAGCTCCAGGCACTGTGCCCATGCTCTCTGTCTCTCTGACACCTGTGCTCCTGGGAAGAACCAGGAGTGGGTGGTACGGACAGGCAATTGATGCCAAGGGTCACAGGGTGTCACAGTATGCACACAGCATGCACCAGAAACCTAGAATGTCAATTCTTTGCCCTAAACTATGGAGGCAGAGAGCATCATTTTCTATCAAAACAAGTCTGGGTGTATTACAGAATGAATTGCTAACTCTGCAGGGATGTTTAAAACACAGCAGAAAGTTTTGGGGCTCAAAGAACATAGGCTCATCCTCTTCTGGCCCAGGCCAGCCACCTCTCAGTAGCCCCACAAGGGGAGGAGTCAAGAAGGTGTCAGG